GTCACCAGCTAGAGCAAGTTTTACAACTGAAATAATTTTTGAATTATGATAGTTCAAAAAGGAATTATGACACCTCTTGCCTTAATAAAATGTCCACTTGTATTCAAAATTAAACTTTTTGTGCCTTGCAGGTCCACCACATCTCCAAGTATTGGCTGGAAAATGCTTTACATTGATACATAATGGGTAAGATGTGAGTCATAATTGTGTGTTAAATCATGAGAACTTTCAGATGACATGTGTTGTGAAACATTATTTTTGGAGTATGATTGGCTGAGTGAAGTACATCTTTTAAATGATCTGCAAAATTTGATTTTCATGTATTATTGCCTCTTCCTTCTGTCCGCTGTAAATATTTCATAAACTTGATTTACTATGTTTGATCATGACAATTGTAATAGACTATTATTATTTGATCAAACAGAAGTTGCACAGAGCCACCACTATATCAAGGTCACATAACAAAATTAAATCAGTCATGTGATATAGCAGGCTCTTTGAACTGTCACAAGATGTTATACTAATATTTGTGTGGGTATAAAGGTTTTTTTTTTAATTGCATTAAAAAGTAATTGAACAGTATTAACTTTATAGAAATACTTACATGTGTCATGGTGTGTACTGTAGTACAGTAACGCAGTAATGCCTAGCAACATGTACTTTGCACCAACCTGTACATAGGTGTCATATTGTTGAATTGAACCATTTTTGTCTAAAAAGATATCTGCTATGTGATCATTAATTCAGATCATGTAATAGTAGCCTTCAACACTGATCAAATGTGTCTTTTAGGTACAAGTATGAGTTTTGTCCATTCCACAATGTGACACAAAAGGAACAGACAGTAAGATGGAATGCATTTTCTGGAGTTTTGGGGTGAGGCATTTCTACTTTAATCAGTAATCATGTATAATTTGAATATGAAACCGATCTTTAGATAATGAATACCATTTATTTTAAGCAGTAGTGAAAATTCAGGCCTGTACAGGATTTGAACCCATGACCTCTGCATGCTTGTGCAGTGCTCTACCGACTGAGCTAAGAAGCAACTGGGAGCTGGTCATTGTATTGGTTCATAATGAACCCATGAAGTGATGAATTACTCTAACTTTAACCCTTCAACTTCCAAGATCTGATGATTAAATCTCCCTTGTGGCTGCTATGCATTTGATCATATGCACCTATAAAATGTGCATTACAAGTAATAAATATTATTATTATTATTATCATTATAATAATTGTAAATGGTCTACCAGAATTTTGTATCTGATCAAGATCTTCTTCCAAAAAGTTTGAGTAACTCATCACTTGTTTCTTGGACAACATATGAATATTATAGGAAGAAGTTACATGTTGATTTGTTACTTCTGGGAGTAAAAAGGGCTAAAAGGACTTTTGGATTTTTCCTAATTATTTAAAAAAAAAGCTCAGCATGTTCTTAAAACACAGTCATGTCTTTGAGTGTTTACATATGGTTGCCATAAAAAAATGTCTTGATGATAATTAAAATCATGAGGACAGCTATGAAAATGATTAATGTACAATATGGTACTGAATTATAAATCAATTAGAATTAGCAGTGGTGCAAATCAATATTATATAGTTAACCCATTCCAAATTACTAATTAAAATAGCTTCAATTAATTTACAAATTAAATTACAAATTAATTTATTAATAAACTGAGTTTTTGAGTAAGCCCAGATATAACAGACCGATAAAAAATTGTTGTGTATTCTGAGTATTGACAAAAGTATTTGCAATCCCACCAAAATTGTTCTAGGAAAGATTAGAAGCATGCAACTGCCATGGTTGATTATTTTTTAACAGTGTCTGGAAAGAATGGGTCATTGTGAACAACACATTTGAAGCCATGCTGTTAGCTAATGGTGACATGTGTCCTGGAGAGAAACCAAGACAGACAAAGGTGTACTTTAAACTCCTCAGATTTTTTTCTGATTATTATATCTTTTGATAATTATATGTGAGGTGCTTTCTATTAGTATGAATAGCCATCACATTTTATCTGCAAACACACTAGCCTAGCGAAACTATATGCAAAAAAATCAATTCACTTCAAGTATAGGTAATAACATGATTCCAAGTATAATTTGGTGTTAATAAGCACAAGTTAATTTTTCAAAGACAACAAATCAAAAGTGCATAATTTTTCCATGTACATTTTTACAGGAATAAACACATTGAAGCAAATTTGCATAATTAGCATGAGATTAATGTCACTGATCCTTTAAAATAAAATTTCTAATGTCACAACCTTGTTAATGGGTGCAACCAATTTGTGTACTTAACCAGTGATACTTTTGCTGCCTCCTGTGTCAGTTTTTCTATTGCAAAATTGTCTTTAGACATAGTTTGATGCTCATTTATCGTTAATTTGTGTGCTCCTTCCAGTTGAATTATTTGTGGAAAGGGTCAGTAAAGACAATTGAGAAGTATAATTACATAACTACTTCAAAAGAGGAATATAATAATTGCTTCTCTCACGATGTGGGACAAACCATATCATGATACAAATAATTAATATATTCCTCTTTTGAAGTGTTATTTACCACAATAACTAACCACAACCTATTTTACAATATATATATAATGTTATATACTAAGTATCTAGCATTTGTTAACAATGAAGTATCAGTAATATAATATTGCTCCTTTTAAAAATTTTACAGGTATTTCTTAGATGTGGAGATCATAACAAGGTTATCTCTGTAGTAGAGCCCACTATTTGTCATTATGAATTAAGATTTGAGACACCACTGGCTTGTCCTATAGATGCCTTCCTAGGTAATTAAGTTTTGTGTAATTACATCAGAATAGTTCTTGTAACATTTTGAACATACAAACATTTCAATTTCAATTTTGATATGGTGTGGAATTATGAAAAAAAAAAAATCTTTGCTATCATCATGATAAGTGTGCACATTTTACATATTCATATACAGTCTTTCATTTCCTTTAACTGGGAAGGTAAAAAAAATCTCCATCAGCTTGATCAAGGTTTTGCACATGTAAACATTTGAGTATGAAAATCTTTTTACTTTAATGTTCTGAAACGTCATAGTAAAGAGCCAAAATTGTTACGTAGTATTTAATATTTGTAATAGCAACTAATTAAAAACAAAATAGGGCAATGAGTGAGATTAATTTTTAACCCTGTTTATTTGTTTGTTTGTTTGTTTTTTCACACTTCAGCATAAGCTAAGGTTTTAATTTAGAGAGGATAACAAAAACTGCATTTTAACACTGTCTCATTGTGTTTTTGCTACAACTGTGCTCATAAAGAAATATTGTGTGATAGCAGAGTTTCAAGGAAAACTTCCCAAGGCAAATTTGCTGAAAAAAGAATGGCACTTTTAAGCCCTTATAAAAGTTTCATCACAGACCTCCTTTGTTAAGTGGAACAGCTACAGTAATGTTATACCAATTTTATAGACAAGGAAAATTATCCCTGAAGGGATAGAGAGGGGAAGAGAGGGGAAGAGGGAGGATGAGAGGGGATAGAGAGGGGAAGAGGGGGGTGAGAGGGGATAGACAGGGGAAGAGAGGGGAAGAGGGGGGATGGGAGGGGATAGAGAGGAGAAGAGAGAGGAATATGGAGGATGAGGGAGGTGGCAATATGTTATTTTAATTAATGCAATTACATCCTTGATTGATGAAGTGCTTTAATGATTTCACTCTATAGTTTATCCAGTGCTAAGTGCTGAGGGCCAGAAAGAGTGGGAACAGATTGAAGAAGCACTCTATCGCAAAGAGCTGACTCTTCAAGGCTACAACAAGTACAGAAAAGCTCTTTTCCAAAAGGAAAACTTGATTCCAAATGACAGCAACAAAGAAAAAGGGAAAGATAAAAAAGGTAGCAAAAACAGCTCATTTGAAGGAGATCTTAACTCACATGCTGGCGATGACCATAAAGGAAAGATTGCCAGCTTTCATTCTAAAGAAGAGTGTTCCAAGGTATATGTGGTCCCTAAAATTTGATAATTTAACATTTTGAAGATAGAATTCTGAATCCTGGCAATTCAACTTACTTTCTGGTCTGCAAATTGACTATGGTCTGGTTTGTTGAACATTATCACAAATTTAGCATGACATCAATCAACCATCAGGGCTTAATTTTTCGGTATGCAAAAAATGTATTATAGGTTCTTATACAAAATGGATGTGAGATGATTACTAAATTTTTTCAAGTGTAGCTCCAATAAATACTATTCAAAGAAATTTTTCATTTAAGAATTTTAGTTGCAAGATTATTTTGTCTGCTGATAACTGATCACTTTATTTCTTTGTAGGCTTACAGCGATCTTTTGGCTGAGGTACAAAAACTTAGGAAGCTCTTAAATATGAGCTGCTCTGGATGCAATGACTCTATGGATACCCACACAAATGGAGCTGTCCAGTCAAACATAGATTTTATAAATATGACAGGAGTAGCAAGTAGTAACACTGAGAGATCTGTTAAGCAGAACCTAAAGATGCAAGAACCTTTAAGAGGTGACAGAGATAAACTAAAAGAACTAAGGAAAACTCTGGAAACTAAAGAAAAGAAGGGATTCCAGTCTATAGTAGAAAATCTGCGAGGGGATCTAGGAGTGAAAAAAAATCAATCTACAGATTTAAGGGAAAGCAAGCAAAGGAAATCTGATATGTTAATGAATGCCAATGAGAGCTAGGACTTAAAATGAATCAGCATGAATCTGGATCAGAGACATGATTTAACTAGAAAGTAGGCTTCTCTGACAGCTATATGTTCTTCCAGATCTTATAACAAAAGTACCAGGATATGGTAGTTTCGTTGTAAGATAAAAGGAAAGTGTTGCATCTTCATTGGAGCTCCAAGATGTACATGTAATTTCTGGAGACTGGCATGAAGTCTGGGGTATTCTTCCAATCATTCTTCTTGTACCTCCAAAATACTCAGGAATGAAATTGCTTTTTCTCAAGGTGTTTTCAAAGATGGGAGTTACATTGTCTTGTTTGAAAGTGAAATGTTAGTTAGTGGGAGCATGGCTGTAGACATTAAACCACCGAACAGTTACATTGCCATTGATGGTTTTCCTTAGTCTCTTGGATCTCAATAATTTAACTTAGCCTTAGTCACTGTAAATCTTTCTCTATGTTGAACGATGGTAGCAAATCATCAAGATGAGTGGTTAGGATGGCTGTTGGGAAGAGGTTTGCAATATTTCCTCTGTTTCATATGATATTTCATTTGTCAGGGAAATGTTACTTTAATTCAGTCAAATAAAAGAATTTTGAAAACCAATGTCTGTAGCAACCAAGCATGAAGCAGTATTTCTATGAAAAAATACTCCTCTTTTGTTACTCAACTGTCAAGGGAGTGGTTTGAATCAGTTTTAGAGTAAGAACTTGAATCAAGTGGCTTTAGATTCAAGGTTACTTTTGCATAATTCAAGGTTGAGAAAGTTTCTTTTCTCACAAACCTTCTTACTTGATTTTGTGAACAAAATTCTAAACACAAAATTGTCAAATGAGGACAGAACTGAGGAATAAAAGTGGGAAAAATGACTTAGTTACCTTAAATTCTTAGCTAAATACTTGCAGTTGATAAAAATTTCCAGGTTTACTACATACATGTACCTGATTAGCTGGTGTTAAAGTGTTTGGCAAGTACTATTCACCTCAGTGGTGGGAATATTCTATTGAGATAGCTACATTGTTGAAAGCACTAGAAATTTTTTCCACAGTACATTTAGTCAGCACGTTGCTGACTGCTGTTTGAAATGGTGCCAGAGATGATTTCTTTGCCCATTTGAAGACGATTTTTGAATGGTTAGATTACATTTCAGAATCTGATATGCTCAAAAGAAGTAGATTTTGATTGATACTTTTAACAATGGAGATAAAAATTGAATAGTTTTTGAAGCATATGAATCTGAGCATATACATCTCCTTTAGCACTTAAATGATTGACACCCTTGAAATCCATTCAATGTGATAATTTGATTTCTGACTTAGGGTAACTCTTGTAATTAAACTGAAGAGTGAATACTACTCTGAAACACAGTGAAGTACACATTGCAAAAATCAAATTGCCATAGAATTACATGACTGAGTTTCACAGGTATGTGAGAGGGTAAAAGAGGTTTGGATGTCTAGAGACAATACTCATAAGCAGTTGGGGATGAAAGTAATAACTTAATAAAAATAAGGAGGACATCCTTCAATATTAGGTTGAGAAACAACTTTATTATTGTGCATTTGGCCTCCACATCTTCTCTACACTTTGAAACCACGGCTCTTTCTGCGACCACGAGCTCTTTCAAATTTGCGTCCTTTGGAGCGAACATATGGCCTGTAAAACAAATGAAAACAGGATGATTACCACTATGGATAAAACAGGTGAGCTTGTTGAATACAGACCTGTAAAACCTGGTTTGAACCAAACAGCTGGTACAAGTTAAAAAAAAAAAAAACAGCTGTAAACCAATCAAGTTTCAAAACAAAAATGAGCACAAGTTAGAAAAGATTAGGGCTTTTTTCTCAGCTTAGACCTAATAAGTCAAGAATGACTATAAATAGCAACAGCACGATGATGACAAAGACAGGGAGAGATTCAGTGGCAGACAAATTCTCCCAAGAAAGGAACGTTAATATGCCCACATGCATAATTTGTGAAAATAGGTTTCCCTTGACAGTTTAAAGTGCATGGTAGATGACAAGCCAATAATGATGAATCGGGGAACACTGAAAACCTCACAATGTCATTGACAAACTATAAACTTTTGTGACTCAAAAGTACACTCCTCTCTTTTTTTGTTGTAATAAGATTATATCATTCAAACTTCCTGACCCAATGTTTCCATGTACAATCTTCCTCTCTACTGACTTAAGTACACACTTACTTTGTTTTGCTGTGTGGAACACCTGGGGCAGGGCCAAAGTGTCTCACACTTTCACGAGCTTTCCTCGGCCCTAAAACAAAGAGACAAGTGTTTTGTAATCCATTCTGAAGAATAGTGGGAAAGAAGAGCTGCTATTGTAACCTTGAAATTATTGCAGTGAAATGTAGTTACATGAATGGATTAAGATTACCCACATCAGAATACCACTACGAATTCATCAATTGCTGTTTGCATTAGAAGACCGTCGTGTCTTATCATCATATGCGGGCTTTCCTAGGACCCAAACCCATCACAAACAAAACACCTACCATACCATTTAAAAAAAGAATTGGAAATGAGCATACTGGATTCAGCCAAGTTCAAAGGGGAGCTTTAGTATGTTTAAGTAGCCTTCAAGGTGCTACAGAATTAACATCATGTCAATATGTATTATGTATATATAATTATTATTTTTTTCCTTTTTGCAGAGTAACAAAGTCCTGTGGTTTTAAAAATGCTCAAAATAAAAGAAAACAGGTGAAAAACTCTTGTCAACTCTCTGCTAATCCAAATCTATACAAAACTTCAATATATCATTAAAATCATGAAACCTAGTAACTCTGGTTCACTAGCACTGGACTTTCAGTAACATTGCAGTTATATGCCCATGTTAAACAAATAGTTACTTTATAAAAATAATACCTATACTTATAAATCTTAAAACCCTTGGGACCCTTTACCCATAAGAGCGTACTCACTTATGACAGGAAAAATTTCAATTTACTCCAGCCTGTGGACCATCGCAATTTAAAAAAAATCAGCAACAAATAATTGCTGCTGAACAAAATAACACTTCTATTTTTGAAGTAGTCTCCAGTCAAACATCAATTTTAAGGAACCCATCTCTATTTCCAACTAAAGTTAATACAATATATCATTCATTCCACACCAGACACATGCAAATTACCTTGAAGCAACACAGTGTTGTTTCCTTTAGGTGCCCTCAAGGCAAGCTGGTCAAAGGTGATAACCTCTCCACCAGCCTTCAAAATCCTTGCACGTGCCCCCTCAGTCACATGAAGTGCACAAACCTTCAAGACAAAGGGGAGAGCATACACTAAATTACTTTAATCGGGAGGACACTGAAGAAAAACTACTCACAGTCAAAGCTACCAGAGAAACTCCTGTTGCCTGTTAGATCTAACACTGGAGTGATTATTACATGTACGAGGCCCAAAAAACTTATCATACCTGCAAACTACTTCGCCCATTTGCAGTATATTGCAAAACCCAACCAAATTTTCCTCCCTCTCTTTAACATGACAAGTTGTACAACAAAAAGTAGGTTTCGGCTATTATTTTCTCTCCAACATAATTTACCAACATCTCTAACTGAGCCAAACATCAATGGAAAAGAGCAAGGTTTCTCCCGGCATCTTGCTAAAAGAAAGTCAAATCACAAACCTATGGCTGTAGGACTAACCTTCAATGCCGGCACCTCATACAACCTCAAATCATCTGTGATAGTTCCAACAACAACACAAATTTTCCCTGAGAAGTCACCCTTTGCTTTCATTTTTCTCACCTGATGGAAAATACAAAAAAAATCAACAGTATATATGATTTCCCATTATGTACAGTGATCGATTAGAGAAAGAAAGAAAAAAGAACTGATAACGATATAGAGGACGTGAATCTTACCATACGAGAAAGAGCGAGAGGTGGCCGATTCACACGACTCATGCAAAGACGTTTCAGAATAACTTTATTAAAAGTTGCATTTGTACGGCGGGCCAAGAAACGGTAGAGCTGCCAGAAGAAAATTAATTAAAATTCGTCAGAACTTCATCTCAACAAAAATCAGATTCAAACGAAGAATAGCCAAATACTACAAACCTTCACAAGGAGCCTCAGGTAGACATTCTGTGAGGCAGGCTCTTGTCGTGCCCTCTTCTTAACGTGCTTCCGTTTGATGTCTATCCCCTAAAAGATTAAGACATCATCACAGTGAGAGTTGCATTAAATGTTTGCAGGGAAACAAACGTAGTCACTTCCAAGATGACAAAGATTAAGGAGGATACTTTCGCCAAGTTGAGAATTAGTCCCATAACTCACCATTTTGAGGAACGAAAAGGATGTACGATTGTTTGGTATTGTGGGAAATTTAATGAATAACCTCGTTTTCGTTATGATAATTTACCATGTAGGGTAGGGTGTTCCCTAGAAGAAGTTTTAATCTGAGCAACCAAGCCTCATTTGCATGCGTGGTGAGAGTGGAGTATCAACGTCAATAGAAAGGATCTGAACTTTTAAACGACTTATATGTTAGCCCTGTGGAATTTTTTCTTCTATCTGGAATTTCACCAATGAGTACCACACCTGTTATATTTAATTTGATCAACTGCATCATTGGAGTCAGTGTTTTGGCGATGCCTTTCTGCTTTCAAGAGGTAAACTTTGAAAACTTCTTATTTCGACCCTCGCTGGAAGATAAACTTCTTTTATTTCAGTTTATTTGCAAATGATCTTCTTATATTAGGCTTTACACTGTTTACTCAAGTTTGTCACGTAAGTTCACATGTACAAAGACACACGATATTCGCCCTTTGTTGTTAAATCTATCCGTGAATTAGTCGAGAAGACATTTATGGAATTTTGGTTGATCACCACAACAACGCTTAATTGAATTAAACAAAGATATCTTCATTTGTGAAATGGTGGTTCTTAATACTAGCCAGAAAATGTAGGCCAATCAGTTTTCCATTCTCATATTTATGCCTCATTATTGTGCATATCGAACTTGCGATTGTCATTCATACCGTGAACATAGAATATGTTACATGCCACATAGGTTCAATACATCTTCATTGCTTCACCTAAGGCAGTATTTAGACAAATGTTAGGATCTGTTGGCTTGCACTTTATGCACACGCAGCTGTGTTGTTTCTAGTTTTTTATAGTTTGATTTTCATTATCAATTTTTTTCCGTTGACAAGACCTTTTTTGAAGAAAAACATTTATTTTACTCTCTTTTTGAAAAATTGTTCCTGGACATTTATTATGTCTACACCTTTTATTGGAGAAAAAGAGGTGTACATATTTCATATAGATCTTCAAATTGCAAGGTTTTTTTTTAAAACAGGAATAAATAGGTAGAATAAGTATATCAGGGCTTTCAATAAGATTTGAAGTAGGTGTCTGGCCATATAATAGTAGGTGGCTGTTATTATTTTCTAGGGGGGGTCTGGGGGCATGCTCCCCCAGAAAATTTTGAAATTTAGAAGCTTGGAAATGTGATCTCCAGCATTCCTGGCATGAGAAAGTAAAGTTAATGATGCATACCATTAACCCTTTAATTGGCAGATTTCTGTGTGTTTTTCAAGAGCTTTTGTGAACATGTAAGGTAATTGAGTTTGGCAGG